CCTGCCACCTCAGCACTATTGACATTTTGAACCAGCTAGTTCTTTATTGTGGGAACTGTCCTGTGTATTATAGGATGTTTAAGCAGCTTCCCTGACCTCTACCCACTAGATACCAGTAGCCCCACTTACCCCCCCGCCCAGTTATGACAACCAAAATGTCCTCAGACTTTGTCACATGCCCCCTAGGGGACAAAGTCACCCTTGGTTGAAAAACACCCTTTAGAGAGAGGAAAAGATTCTATTTATACCTCCTTGAAGTATAGATTTAACTATGTAATATCTCCAAGGGCATGTTTTTCTAAATGTTTTTGTTCAGATTTGGAACACTTTATGGTTCTTATAATTAATAAAACTTTTTGTGGTCAGATAGCATTAATTTTATAAATGTTTTATAATAAAATAAAGAAACCAATCAGTTAACAGTCTTTGATCTTTTCAGAATACAGCCAAACGTGTTAACAATGCAGTGCTGAGGTGAAGATATTTTTGTAGTTAAAATTGTTCTAATAAAGTAATGATAGTCAACACTTAGTGGACATCTACTGTGTGCCAAGCATTTTGCCAAGGACTTGCTAGATAGTAGTTTATAAGTTATTATTCACAGTCTCTGTCCTTTGGAGCTTACAGTCTAGTAGGGAAACTAATTAGATAAGAGACAAATATGTATTATCCCATTTCAGGGGGATAACTCTCTTTGAGTCAGTTGTTGTTACTGGTTACAGAGAAGAAAGCTGAGACAGAATTAGGTACCTGCCCAAGATCACTTAGCTAGTAAGTGCTGGATTCTGAGTGTTAAAACCAGAGTTCATTCTGTTCATCAGTTTATCCTGCTTTTGGTCTTTTCAGTTGCACTTTCTTATATCCTCTCTTGACCTTTTCCTCTCCTTCTGCTCCCCCCCTTATCCCTCAACACCCCACCAAAGAAAGAAAGAATCTGCCTTATACCTTGTATTATTGAACACCTACCATGCAGAATGCATTAGTTACACTATTACATATAAAAAAAAATCCCTGTATTTCCGAGGACATTGATGTTTCTCTTTTTTCAGGTCTTAATGCAGGCATTATTTCTCCCAGAAGCCTTCCTGGTAGCACACTTACCACATTTGTGTAAAGAAAGGTCAGATGCCTTTCCTATATGCCTTCATAATGCCCTGTATTTACTTTTATTACAGCATTTATTAAACTGTGATGTGAATTCCTTTTTGTTGCTACTACTGATGGCATTTCTAACTTTTTGAGGAGTCATAGCTCCAAAACATTGCACAGAAAATTAATGCTACAGGGGCGCCTGGATGGCCCAGTCGGTTAAACATCTGACTTCGGCCCCTGGATCGTGATCTCAGAGTCCTGGGATCATGCTCAGTGAGGAGTCTGCTTGCCCCTCCCCCTGCTCCTTCCCCCCGCCATAAATAAATCTTAAAAAAAAAAAAAAAGGAAAGAAATTAGTGCTACATAATAAGCACATACACACTCTCATTGCACCCAACCCTGGGTGATGTCTTCCAGCCCTCACAGACTATACAGAGAAAATATACATAAAGATAATTAACAATGCAAGGTAACAGCTGTAAGATTTCTGAATATTTGAAGCTAAGATGGGAAGTTTTACTTTTTTCCTTCTTTCCCTCTTTCTAAAATTGTTTTTTTGAGAGCTCTAAGATATTTGTACTTTATGTAACACTTTGCAGATTTTGTGTAGGAATATCTAGTATACTATATATAACCTGGCTTGCCTCAAACATTATGTTTGTGTTACTAAGTTTAAAGTAGAGTTTTTTTCAAAAATTTTTTAAAGAAAATGACACACAGTTGGTTTAAAAACAGCTCTTTGGAAGGAGAAAAGAAACTACTGCATTAAATGTAAACATGAAAACATATGTACAGAAGTTTTCAGAACTAAGATGTGAAAAAATATATCTTAGAATAGAAGAAACACATTAATTATAATTTTGTTATTTTTTATTTGGAATGTTTGAAACTTGTTTCAAAGTGCTGAACTCTGGGGCACCTGGCTGGCTCCATCAGTAGAGCAGGGGACTCTTGATCTTGGGTTATGAGTTCGAGCCCCACATTGGGTATGGAGTTTACTTAAAAAAAAAAAAAAAAGTCCTGACCTTTAAGGAACGTACTATCTTTCTGTTTTTCAGGAATTTAAGAAAAGCAGATAAAAACTTTCAAAAAGAGAAGACACCATTGCCATTGTTGTAAAACAAAAAATAATATTACAATGTTTTCTGTACTTAGACCTTCAAAACATCAAACAAGTAGAAAGTACTCAGTTTGGTGGGTGGGGAACAGGGAGATTAGTGGTGGCTTCCAAAAATTCACGGAATGTACTTCTGCCAAGAAAAGTTCTAATCTTACTTTCTAAGCTGTTGGTATTGGTGATTTTTTTCTCCCTCCCAAAGCTTAATTTATATCCTCTTTAGAAACTTTAAAAACTGAAGGACTGTTTTGATTAAGTCAAGCCTCTCTGTTCTTTTATGTATTCATTAGTTTGTTGATTTGGTGTAATAAATTAATCATAGATTTCTTTCACATGTTACCAAAGACAGAGAAATCCAGCGCTGTCAAAAAGTAGGGATATGGGAGTGTCAGAGACTGTTTCATACAAAAGCCTAGGTTTTAGGAGGTCATTCCTAGGCAGATACCAAGAGATTTATAATCCAGAACTAAGTTTCTAAAAATGTTTTATATTCTGTGACATTTGAAGGTATTTGGGTGAGCTTATTTGGTAATCTAGTTGAATATAGTGACTATGCTGTCACCTGTTTTTACCTGATAACATAAATCTGTCAACAATGGGATCTGTTCCATTTCCCAGAAATGATTGATTTTATCAGATTTATTTGGTAGTAAATGTCATCAAATATCTGAATCTCTGATCCAGATGGCCTAGTTGCTTCATAGAGTTTTATATTGAGGACATCTTCTGTTGTAACTAGGATATAATTCTGCCTCTATTGAAACTTTTCCTTTATTTCCAGGCCTAATTAATTAATCAACCCTTTCTCTGTACTTCCACTGCCCTTAGCTTAAATTGCTCTGCCATAATACATTTATTAATGACAACCTCATATTGTGGGATATAATGGTTACTTATTAACAATTAGTCTTTTTTTCAGATTGTAAGAGTCTTGATAGCAGGGACCGTGTTTATTCATTTATAGTCTGTAGCATGCTGACTCCCATGATGAGTTTGTTTGGGGCCTATTAAGTTCTTAAGGGATACTGATTATTTGAGATGGAATTGTTCTCAAGAAGTTAGTCATTGGGGTGCCTGGCTGGCTCATTCAGTGGAGCATGAAACTCTCGATGTCAGGATTGTGAGTTCAAGCCCCATGTTGGGCATAGAGATTACTTATAAAAAAAAAAAAGTTAGCCATAGGATGCTGGAGCTCAGGAAAACACTTAGGGCTGAGAATGTAAATTGTAATTGTACACATAAATATTACTGTTTATATTTTCTTCTTCCTGGTTCTTACTTTTCCTGTACCACTTATACCAGAAGGAGGACCTTGGTTGACCCTTAACCACAATTCCTTCTTCATCCAGAGCCTCAGGTGCCAATGGGTGGACAGCTCTGAGTACAGGGGAGTAAAAGGGAAACACCAGGTCCCATTCACCTTATTCCATAGCAGCCTTACTTTAAGATCCCCGCTTTTTGGGTTTTTGTTTTATTTTTTACTATTTTTTTTATTGTGGTAAATATATGTAACGTAAAATTTGCCATTTTAACCATTTTTAAGTACAGTTCAATGGTATTATATTCACAATGTTATGTAACCACAACCATTATCTATTTCCAAAATTTTTCTTTTTTTTTAATTCTTTTAAGATTTTATGTATTTATTTGACAGAGAGAGCACAAACAGGGGGACTGGCAGGCAGAGGGGGAGGGAGAAGCAGGCTCCCCGCTGAACAGAGAGCCTGATGATGGGCTCGATCCCAGGACCCTGGGATCATGACCTGAGCCAAAGGCAGACGCTTAACTGACTGAGACACCCAGGTGCCCCTATTTCCAAAATTTTTTATCATCCCAAACCAAAACTCTATATCCATTAGGCAATAACTTTCCA